AGCTAGGCTACCGAGCCTCAGCAAAATGGAAGCCCAGATCTGAAGTTGGAGGCAACTTATCTGGGGTACCTATTAAAAGGGGGCAACGCTGGCTAACCAAAGCCCGAAAGGAAACAGTCCCACGATCCCCAGAGCCCCAGTCGAGCACGGCAAGTGAGAGAATTCTGGGGTCGGCAGGGTTCAGGTTATGGATACCCGGATTTGCTGAGTTAGCCAAGGCTTCCTATACTGCAACAAAGGAACGGCAGCCCTTCAATTGGACGGAAGAGGCTGAGCTGGCCTTTCAACAAATCAAAACTGCCTTGTTATCAGCCCCCACGCTGGGGGTCCCTGATGTCTCCAAGCCCTTTCACTTATACGTGGATGAAAGTAAGGGTGTTGCAAAAGCTGTGTTAACAGAGACTAGCCTGGCAGAGGCCAGTTGCCTATTTGTCAAAAAAATTAGATTCAGTGGCTGCTGGCTGGCCACCCTGCCTGCAGATAATCGCGGCACGCTCTAATGGTCTGAGACGCTGATAAACTTATCATGGGGCAAGAGTTGCACGTTATAACTCCCGCATGCCATTGGAAGAAGCCCTCGCAGCCGCTCGACTGATGGATGAGTAACGCCCGGCTCACCCACTATCAAGGACTGCTGTTAAACTCCCCTCAGAATAACTTTTCTGCCCCCAACTCCTTAAACCCTGCTTCACTGCTGCCAACCAGACTTGGACGCTCCGCTCCCATGAGTGCACTGAGATACTGGCTCAGGTGCATGGGGTGCGGGAGGACCTGCAAGACTGTCCGCCTCGACACAGAACTCATCTGGTTCACTGATGGCAGCAGCTACGCGCCCACTCAAGGCCAGCGGTATGCAGGAGCAGCTGTAATTCAGAGACTGAGGTAATCTGGGCGGAACCCTTTGCTCTCCAGGGACATCGCCCAAAGAGCCGAACTGATAGCACTCTACACAGGCCTCACTCCTAGGGGCAGAGAAAAACTAACAGTATACACGATAGCCGCTATGCTTTCGCTTACTGCGCATACATGGGGCTATCTACAGAGAGAGGGGACTGTTAACAGCTGAAGGCAAAGAAATAAAAAACAAGCAAGAGATCCTAGCTCTATTAACTGCTTTGTGGAAACCAAAGAAATTGCCATCGTGACGTTCTGGGCATCAGAAACCAACTACGCCAATTGCTCGAGGCAACTTCTTAGCTGATCAAACCGCAAGGAGCATAGCAAAAGCTCCTGGGTCAGCTCCTCGCACTCAGCTCCCTGATCCTGGCCCGCGAAATCTCCGCTGTTTTCCCGACTATACCGAACAGGATCGCGAATGATGGACACGCTTCCCTAAAAACAGGTTCAAAATGGGTGGTGGACTGATGTAAATGACCAAACCATCCAACCAGAAAATCAGGTGGCAGGTGTTGGAACATATCCACCGGACAACCCACCTGGGTGCCCGCGAATGACAGACTTAATAAGGCACGCCTGCTCAGAATCAGGCGATAGCTGAACTGGCCAGCGATGTCACAACAAAATTGCAAAGCCTGCCAATTGAACAACGTCGCCCTGCAAGAACCCAGGCCGCCAGAGGAATTAGGTGTAGAGGAACTAGGCCTGGCGTCTATTGGGAAATAGACTTACTGAGAGATAAAGCCTGGAAAATGTGGGTATCAGTACTTACTTGTCTTTGTAGACACTTTTCAGGGTGGACAGAAGCGTTCTAACCAAGAGAGAAACTGCTCAGGTTGTAGCAAAGAAAATTTTGGAAGAAATCCTCCCAGGCATGGCTTTCTCCATCCAGATAGGGTTTCAGACAAATGGACCAGCCTTCGCTAAGGCGGTAAGTCAGGATTTGGCTTCCATTCTTGGGCAAATTGGAAAATTACATTGTGCTTATAGGCCCCAAAGCTCAGGACAGGTAGAAAGGATGAATCGGACTCTAAAGGAGACCTTAACTAAATTGACCATGGAGACTGGCGCTAATTGGGTAGTACTTCTCCCCTACGCTCTGTTCCGGCCCGAAATACCCTTACAGACTGGGCCTCACACCATATGAAATCATGTATGGCAGACCCTCACCCCTGGTCCCCAGTCTAAAAGATGATTTACTCAAACCTGAAACTGAAAATGTTCTGAGCTCTTGTTCTCCACAAGCCTTACAGAAAATTCACGAGGAAATTTGGCCCAGACTACGCAGAACTGTAATGAGGCAGGACCTCCGCCGACGCCATCCGCTCCAGCCGGGAGACTGGGTCCTAGTCAAGCGCCACCAGCAAGAAACTCTTCAACCCAGGTGGAAAGGACCACTGCAAGTACTCCTGACTACTCCCACCGCTCTCAAAAGTAGAAGGCATCGCTTCGTGATCCACTACACACACGCCAAACCAGTGGATCCAACATCCGACTTTCTCGAGTCAGCCTGGAGCACCGGTTACATGGACTGTAGACAAAGCTAAGAACAATCCCTTAAAGCTAACCCTGCGCCGTCACCCACATAGCCGTAACCATGTCTAGCTTGCCTATGCTTTTATGCCTTATACATCTGACTCTCCTAACTGCTGCGCCGTCTAATCCCTATGTCTGGAGGTTCTGGCTCTAAGGAGAACAAACTCACCCCCGGGAAACCCCTGCCGGTAAACTGTTGAAGAAGAGACTGCCCTTCTCCGGTGTAATACTACAGTTTACCTCAATTTCACTAAGTTCCAAAATTGCCCAACCGGGATAACGCATGATCTGTTTTGAATATGACTGTGACTGAATATAATTGTAAGAATTATTGGTGGGACCAGAATGCAGGTTGTCTATACCAGCCATTGTAAATGCATTCAGCCAGGTATGGAACGAATACCCAGAAACTTAATCCAGACCCGCCAATCTCGACAGGACCCCAACACATACACTCGGGATTAACAGATCCGGCACTCCTGGGTGTACATCGCCTCAACATGGGGCAGTCTACTACGATTCCAGTAGAGCTGGCCCTAGTAGCTATCTGTACCTGTGGTAAAGTTCAGTCCAGATTCAACCCTTAATCCATACACAGATCCACAGACAAGAAACCAAGCTATCACAGGACTTGCAGCCCTTCTCTTGGCTAACCCTACTACAGGAAGGGGCTACAGTCAGCCAACCTCACTGCCAGGTGACCTGTCCTCCTGCTTTATGTGTGCAACCCTAGGAAGACTCACCATTAACCGCTGTCTCTATCCTCCCCTCCACAACCATATGCCAGATTCTAATTCATCAACAGTTGCAATACCCGATGTAGCCCTGTACCGTGACCCATACCAAGAAAAATACCTCTACTGTTATTCAGCATTTAGTAGCAGCCTCTGCAAACTGTGACGGTTACATACCCTAATAGCCCCATACGTGCTCCCCCTGGTGTGTTCTTCTGGTGTAATATGACTCTGTTAAAAACTCTGTCCAAGAGCATCTCTGACGGACAGTTGTGCATCCCCTGTTACTAGTTCCCCCGACTGACCCTGCTAACTCCGGCAGAGTTCATAGGCTGGGCAGGGACTGGCCCCAACTGAAACTACGCGACATAGACGGCAGTTTTTCACTACTAATTGCCGGAATATCCTTAACCACTCTGTTTGCCGCAGCGGGGTTAGCAGGAGGGCCTCACAACACTCATGATAGAAATGACAAGCTGTTACAACAATTCTCTGTTGCCAGAAGACTCCGCCTGCCTCCCTAGCCTCCCATCAGCAGCAGCTTACCTCCCTAGCACAGGTCACCTTCAAACCGTGAGCCTTAGACTTACTCACGGCTGAGAAAGGAGTGTACTGTATGTTCCTCAAAGAAGAATGCTGTTTCATAAATGAGTCAGGTTAGTTGGAGGAAAGAGTCCAACGCCTACACAAACTAAGCTTTAGAAATGAAAAAGCAACAATTCACTACAGCCGCTTAACAATTGGTGGAGCTCTTCAATGTTTTCTCTCTGGCACCCCTTTTAGGCCCCCTAATGTCTTTACTACTTCTATTACCATAGGCCCTGTGTGGTAAATGTAAATTTTACAATTTGTCAGAGAAAGGTTTGATACCATCCAACTAATGGTCCTCGTAGCCATCACCAGCCTCTCCTGCACCCAGAAAAGGAGGCTACATTATAAGACTCTGGAAATCCAAGATTGGACATCCAGTTACTTATGAGAGGGGGAAATGAAAGGACACAAAGATAGATGTTTACCCGCCCGCTTACACCCTTTGTTCTGCTCTCTAATCGTTGCACATACCAGAGATTTCAGGTTCTGTGAGTACCTGTTTTTCAAATGCACTAGAGATTTTGTAAGTTCTGAGGCAAGGTCACAAGACGTGTTTAAGATAAACTCTTGCTGCCATAAACCTGCTCTCCCGCCTTCAAAGGTTGAACCGAACATCAGAAATGGCAGGAACCAATCATAGTTAGTCAAATCGCCTTGTTCAAATACTAGCCAATCATATATCTGATTTGCATAATAACTCTATGCCCACTTTCTTAGACTGTATAACACTGCTCGGAGTTTTTCAGTGGGAACTCTCCTGCTCACCTGCTGCGAGCTTGGTTTTTTTTTTTTTTTTTTTTTTTTTTCCAGCTAGGATTTCATTCTGTCACCCAGGTTGGAGTGCAGTGCATCAGTCATGGCTCACTGCAGTCTTAACCTTCTGGGCTCAAGCGGTCCTCACAACCCAGCCTCCCAAGTAGCTGGGACTACAGGTGTGAGCACCACACCTGCTTTTTTTTTTTTTTTTTTTAATTTTTTTGTAGAGATGAGGTCTCACTGTATTTCTCAGGCTGATCTTAAATTCTTGGCCTCAAGGAATCCTCCTGCCTTGATTGACCTCCCAAAGTGCTGGGATTACAGGTATATGCCACCACGCCTGGCCTAAAATCCACTTTTTGAATGGAGTTTTTCAACACTATGAGGATCACATGAAGGAAAAAGCCTGGCCTGGGTTGGAGTTTATGGGCTGGGGGCTTTCTGGAAGGTATGTGGTGGTCAAGGGTCATATGTCAGGTGTTCTGAATCCTGAGCAACAAGGACGTGGTCTGTTGGCAGCTCCTGACCCCTGAGGATTACCAGCGATTTCTAGACCTGAGCATCTCCATTGCTGAAAACCGCAGTGCCTTCAGCTACCATTGCAAGACCCCAGATTGCAAGGGATGGTGCTTCTTTGAGGATGATGTCAACGAGTTCACCTGCCCTGTGTGTTTCCATGTCAACTGCCTGCTCTGCAAGGTGGGGCCAGGGACTCACCCCCCCTAGTCACTGTCATCTTGCCTGGAGCTTACCATGCTGCAGTGCGTGTTCTCCTGGGAAGGGAGCTGTGACCCTGGCCTGCTAGTCATGACTTAGAGCTGCATGTCGGTGGGAGAGTGTGGCTCGAGCCTGAACCAAGCCCTGGCCCCACAGATGGGGTCCCAGACCCGGCCCCAGATGGAGCCTCCAGCCTAGGCAGCCCTGGTCCACAATGGAGCCCTGACCCGGGACCAGTCAACCCCAGTCACAGACTGAATCCCAGTCCCACACTGAGCCCTGACCCCATCCAAGTCCATAGACTCAGCCTCTGACCAAACCTGACCCTGCACTTGTCACTTAAGGTGGTCCCATATTCAGCCCAGACCCTGAACTAAGCTCTGACCCTGGCTTCTGACTGAACCTGTCACAGACTAAGGCCCAATCCTGGCCCTATGCCACATCTCCGCCCCTGTCCTGAGCTGAGTGCTGACCCCAAACCCAGACAGCCCTGCATGGTCCTTCCCCCAGGCCTGTCCCTGCCCCTTCATCTCAAAAGTGGAAGGTGAGGAGCCGGTAAACAGGTCTGGAGCCTGCTCTCACACTCAGCCTGAGCAAGCTCAGTCTGGGGTCATTGGGCCTGTAACCCCGGGCAGGGCCTTGGCAGGGATGCGGGGTCTCACCTTAGGGGTGTAAGTGATTTCCGTGCCCATCAGAACTTAAATAAGCTGGGTGTGGCAGCATGTGCTGGTAGCCTGTGCTACTCAGGAGGCTGAGGTATATTTTGTTGTTAGCATATGTGATGACCTTGACTTCACCTCCCTGGTGCCAGTATCCTCTTCTGTAAAATGGCTTATGCTTTACGAAGTGAGGTCCTGCCAGTGACTACACCTAGAGGCATTAAGTGCCTTTGTGGACTCCTGCCCTGCGCCTCACCTCTCCCAGCTTCTTAACCCCCTGAGGAGCCTTCTCACCTTGAGTGCCTCACCTGCTGCAGGCCATCCACGAGCAGATGAACTGCAAGGAGTATCAGGAGGACCTGGCCCTGCGGGCTCAGAATGATGTGGCTGCCCGGCAGACGACAGAGATGCTGAAGGTGAGGCTGGGACAGGGCCGAGGCCTAGGGATTTTAAGTTCTGGGATCCAGGTGGGGGCTGGGGGCTTCTCAGCAAGGGCTATGCTCACACATCCCTGGAGGCTCTGGTCTCCCTTCTGACTGTCACTTCCATCCAGAGATGGGACTTAGGCCAAGTTGTCATGTTGGGAAGAGCGTCTGGGTGGAGGGTGGAGACCACAGGAATGAAGAGGGGCTTGCTGGACGGAGCCTGGCCTGGCGGAGCTGCACAGGAGAGACTCCACAGCACCAGAGGGTCTCTACCTTCTCCCTGCCATGGGGAGGAGCCAGGCTGGGTGACTGCCCCAGCCCCGCCCCAAGGCCAGCGCCTGTCCCGCTCCAGGTGATGCTGCAGCAGGGCGAGGCCATGCGCTGCCCCCAGTGCCAGATCGTGGTACAGAAGAAGGACGGCTGCGACTGGATCCGCTGCACCGTCTGCCACACCGAGATCTGCTGGGTCACCAAGGGCCCACGCTGGGGCCCCGGGGTGAGTCTTCGCTCGTGGTGGTGTGGAGAGGGTGCCCTTGTGGGTTTGCCTTAGAGGAGGGCTTGGAAAACTACAGCCCATGGGCCATATCCAACCCAGCACCTGACTTTGTACAGCTCCCGAGGTAAGAGTGTTGTTTCTTTTGAAACGGAGTTTCGCTCTTGTTGCCCAGGCTGGAGTGCAATAGTGCAGTCTCGGCTCACTGCAACCTCTGCCTCTCAGGTTCAAGCGATTCTCCTGCCGCAGCCTCCCAAGTAGATGGGATTACAGGCATGCGCCACCATGCCTGGCTGATTTTGTATTTTTAGTAGAGACAGGGTTTCTCCATGTTGGTCAGGCTGGTCTCAAATTCCTGACCGCAGGTGATCCGCCTGCCTCAGCCTCCCAAAGTGCTGGGATTACAGGCGTGAGCCACCGTGCCCGGCCACAGGAATGTCCTTTACATCTTTAAATGGTTGAAAAAATACCAAAAGATGACTATCTTGTGACATGAAAATTACATGAAATCCACATTTCAGTGTCCATAGGTAAAGTGCTTTGGAGCACAGCCGTGCTCGTTCATTTACATGTTGTCTGTGGTTGCTTTTACACTGCAGAGGCAGAGGCCATATGGCTGCCCAGCCCAAAATGACCGGCCCTTTGTAGAAAAGGTTTGCCCACCCTTGCCCTAGAGGACAGCAAGTAAAGGTTCCATCTGGAGTCGGAGGTGGATTGGCCCCTGGCTCTGGCACATACCGACTGTGTGATTAGGCTGCTCACCTCTCTCAGCCCCCTTTCCTCCGTGAAATGGAGATGATAGCTGGGCTTATCTCAGGCTTGTTGTTAGAATCAAGTGGAAAAATTGCAAGAGAAGTGCTTAGAGAGTCTGTCATTTGGTGAGCACTCTTGCAAATGGTAGTAGCTGTCATTATTAGGGGTGTGCTCTGGAATTGGGAGCCTGTTGTAACATTCAGGTAGACTTTCAGACAGGTAGAGGCAGAGGAACCTGCCCTTGTGCATGCTGCCAGTATGCTGACATGTCTGGAATATGCAGAGTGGTCAGATCCTCTCCCTGGCCTGTTCCTGGATCTAGGCTTGGGTAGACTGAGTGCTGTGGGAGCCCAGAAAAGGCCTCAGTGACTCTCCATCAGGTAGCTGAGGCCGACAAGGCCATTCTTGCAGGAGGGCCTGCAGAGGCAAAGGCCCAGGTGGGAGAGTGCTCGGCTGTGGGGGCAGTCTCTGCACTGCCCTGACATTCTCTTCTCTTCCTGTCATCTTCTAGGGCCCAGGAGACACCAGCGGGGGCTGCCGCTGCAGGGTGAATGGGATTCCTTGCCACCCAAGCTGTCAGAACTGCCACTGAGCAAGTGGTGGGACCCCATGCTGACCCAGCCCCACATCCACATTCTGTTACGGGGCAGGGCTGGGCTTGGGACTTTGGCTCCAACTTCTGGCTGGGAGATGCTTTTGTGCGGAGACCAAGTCCCTGAGCTTCGTGGACGGCCTTGCTTGCTGTAGCGTTGTAGGGGCCCTGCCTGCACTGCTGTTGTCCATGGTCACATCTGCCCCAGTGCGTTTGTCCTTCCCTTGGGGCTTGCCAGCCAGACTTCTCTCCCCTGCAGCTCCCACCTCTGCCTGACCCCAGCCTTAAACACAGCCCCTGGCCAGAGGCCTTGCTGGGTGGAGCCTCTGTGTGACTCCATACTCCGCCCACCACAACACTCATCTTTCGAATACCAAGCACTCTCAGCCTCCCTGCCTTCCCCTGTCAGCTTTCCAGGGCTAACTGTTCTCTGCCTTTGTGGTTGGAGGCCCGGGGCGCTTAGAACTCTTGCTAACCTGTTCAGAGCCGGGAAGGAGACTGGGCAGTTTTGAAAGCACAGCTCCTCAGGTCCAGTTCTGCGTCTCCCTCTCTGCAGCGTTTGTAAGCTATTATAATTAAAATGGTTTTCTGGGAAAGGATGAGTGTGATGTCCTTGAGAGGAAGTGAATGTCCTGGGCTGGGATCCTACACACAGGTAGGATCCCGAGGTCTCTGGGAACTGCCTCAGAAAGTTGACTTGTCAGTCCATCGATGGTAGAATGAGACTGTGACTGAGCACTGGGACCTTTCTACCAGACGTGGACCCCACGCCCAGCCTCGGGGACCAGGATGTGCTTGGGTCCCCATCAGCCAGGACAGGCGGAGTGTGCAGTATGTCAAGTCTGCAGAGAAGGATGGGCTTAGGGGCGGGAGGGGAAGTCTTGCCACTCCTGCTCCCTTTTGACCTCTCAGCAGGCATCCAGGGTTGGCAGGTCGATAGTTCAAGAAGGAACGAAGGTGCTGCGGTTGAGGGGTGAGGTCCATCCTAATTTTCACATCTCAAGCAAGACGGCACAGTATCGATTCAGCAGTATTGATTAGCACCCACTCGGTGCTGGTCAGAGGTGACTAAGACATGGTCCTGGGATGCTCATTCTGTAAGTTTTTCCTCCATTCTGTGACCCACCCTCCTTCCCCTTTTGAGATCTGGTATTTATTGTCCACGCTGTGACATCATATCATCATATCAGATGGAGGGCGCCAACCTTGCCTGAGTCCAAACCTAGCCCTGTGCGAGCCCACAGGTTAGTGTGGTCCTCTCAGAGGCT